ATATGAGACCACAATACAACTGTCAGTGAGACCGTTTCACCTTCCAGTCTCTCACTAGCCAAATATCATGCCTCTTACATCCGTAGGTTGATATATAAGAGGCGTTCAGTTAGGACCTCTTCCCCTCTCTGATCTCAGTCCGCGGACATTTTTCATCCATTTTTGAGAACTTTACGCTTATCTGTTTGTCGTCAGTCTTTAAGTCGTTCATTGAGACCTCTCCTTTACACACCACAGCCATTCAACGCAGAAACAAACTCACTGTACTAAAAACAAAAACAGCCAAGAAGACTACGTTCGCATTGGCCGACTGGAAACATCATACTTGGAGTGTAACTGCTCGAAGCTATGCATGGAACCCCATAGACGGAATACCCTTGAAAAACTGGGGAGGCAACCAGCGCCACGAACGCAACATAAGCCTTTGGTGAGACACTAACTGACTGACTGTGGGGTTACCGGAGCATTTTTAAACTTATTTTCAATGTAAGACGGAAGTGCCCAATTTTTAAAAAGCTAAAAAGTATTATGCATGTGGCACACTCACTTTAAAGTATAGATCACTTTCCCCCGTATCCCACATCGTAACCTGACTGTGTTTAAGAATTTAAGTGTGCCGTGCTAACTGCTTTGAAATTTTTCTTCCATATCCTTCTTTTCACATTTTTAATAATTTTTTCAACAATCCTCTCATACTTCTGGTTTTCCACTTTGCGCACGACGGGAACGTGAAAAAGACGAAGTAAGAGAACGCATGAACGAGCACTTTATGAATCGCTATGCATACATCACACTCTCACTGACAGACGACCAGAGTGCAAAACGTCTCCATCTAATCCATGGAGGGAGTTCTAATCATAGCGCTACCATCAGCCTTTCCTGTCGTTCTGGTATTATTTTAGGGTCTTCATGACCCTACCGGGAGAACTGAGCTGGGATGGCAAATGGTTCTCCAGCACTATTAGTGTGCAGCATCCCCCACTCAACACTTGGCATTGGCCTTCGCAATTAAAGTCAACATGTTAAATCAAAGATGCGTGGTCACGTGTTCACTGGACGGAGCGCTGCAGCATTTCATGAGGTCCTCGTGGGCGCGACCTAGCTATTTGAGCAATCGTCATCACTCTACGTTTCTTATCCTGAAATAATAATAATATATTCATGCCAATCTATGTATGACGCACCAGTTTTACAGGCATGGATAAGTATATTTCATATTTTGGTTCACCTCTTGTCTCTGTAGAATAGTCATCCTAATAGTTTAGGGATAAACACCTGTAACCATCAAAATCTTTCATCTAATAAGCGATAAAAATTGCACTACACATTATATTCTTGAAAAAAGCCATATGAAAACTCCTTTTGGACACTTGAAGACTAAGTTTACTATCCGTCATCTCTTCTTCATATCTAGTCATCCCTATTACTCTTGCTCCTTAGCTGGTGGCATGGCTTAAGCCGAAAGGTGACTGCCGCAAAATACCATGAACCTTATGCTAATATATGATCTCTAAGTTCCAATGGCTTGGATGATTACGCTTTGGGTCTGCATTTATTTTTTTATTCGCAGTGCAGCCGAAAACCAGTCTTGGTTTAAGTTAATTAATACACACTACCATATATAGTTCCAGTGGTCCACGGTCCAGTGTGAGAAATAAAACTTACATAAATATAAGAATTAAACGCTGCTTTTTGACTATACGTGGAAGCATTTACTAACAGCCAGCTCACAGAAAACATATAATTGGAATAATTAGCAGATGCCTTCCTAGAAGTGAAATCTAACTGAATCTAAAGACAAGTGGTTCGTGGGGGATCACAGAAGTGTATGAAAACCGTTAAGTTTAGAAGAGGCCACCCTTTCTGTTAAATTAATATTTCTGCACCACTAGATATTAAGTCAGAAAATCTGAGTCAGATTTATTGCCATGGATTATTATCTCTGAAGGGTTTCTTAATAATTTCCCTTAATGGTCTGAAGTATAGCCCGACGCCAGGATTCGGTGAGTTAGCTGGCCAAGATGTATATGCATACATAACAGTTACGTTGATAATTCTAGAGGTGTTCAAATAAAATACAAGCTCACAGCCGCTCAGGCGATTTGACTAGCACGTCACCAAGGATTTATTGATTAATTCATTAAGCACTAGCCATATGAATATACAACTCAGCTTCGGACGACTAAAGTGTGATAAGTAATGTTTTGACTAGAAAACATAGGAGTAGTTCCGTCTTCCTCCTTATTAGTTAAATCCCATATCCAAGTAATAATTAACTCACATGAAAAGTAACCGAAATAAATTCATAAGAATCCAAGCCTGTATGGCGTCTTGACGATCCTAACTTAGATTTCCGGAGAGCTACGAACACAAAAACGGCTTATAAATTCGTATGCACATTTATACTACCAGACGTTGGTCTAGGCACACTAACCACTGGGCCATAGAACTGGGATTACTTGACTCTGGTTTGGTCTTTATTTGCTTCCATGGTATCACATCAAGGCAATTTTCAAGGTTTGGTGGTCAGTGAGGAGTTACATAGTGGTGATGTTATACAAGTAATGCCATCATGGCTTTGTAAAATTCTGACTGTATTTGCATGCCGAGACAAATGTGAGAATTAAGTTGGTAAACTATATGCTTAATACTAGAAATTCAAGTGAAAAATGCAGTTTTGGCAGTATGAGTTGATTTCTTAAGCCATGAAAAACACGAAACCTTCGGCGTGATAAAAGCAGGTTGCGAGCATGGGAAGCATCTCATATGTTTAGCGACAAACACCGAATAACTTATCCCCAAAGTCGATGACGCATACAAAGTGTCTTGTTGATGTGATTTAGTCGCCGGTGTTAAGTGCAGACCCCAACCAACCACGGGGACATGAATGCAGCATACTTTTCCATGTGAGTATGCTGCAACACGTCACGCTTCTGAATGTATATGTGTACGGAAACGATCCACAGTGATCAGGTGAACTGATTCATGTTAACCGGAGATAAGATGGTGCGATTCGATTAAAAAGCCAAGTGTACCACAATATTTCCATTAGCATTAACAAAATTAATATAAAAATTTAAAGTACCACCGAGAAGGGGAGTGCCTAATTAAAGCTTATGACAGTTACTCATGTTATAAATATTATAAAAAATAAGCCGAAACTTACCTGAGCTGCTACCTGTTCTGCAGGCTTTTAGTACTGTCAGTTTATGAGTCTTGATATATATGATCTGATATAACTTCCGGAAAATAAAGCCAGGTTCATCGCCGCTGAAGAATAACAGAAGAGGTAGTGGTGGAAACACGGTGAGCATTGGCTGATGATTTAGAATAAGGATGGTCTGACTTAGCATAAGTCACTTTTGGCTCACCAATTCCAGGAAACCAGTTTGTCACGCTGAATGAGTGACTTCAACTTGAAATAATGCTCATGGTTGTTGTGTGGTCATTCATCCTACTAAACCTGACCTCAGGCACATACTGACCTTTTAGCCTGACCCACTTAACTTGGTGAGCAGACTACACTTAACACCGCCCCAACTAGTGAAGGGAGAATATGACATATACTGTCGTTCAAGGATGAATTTATTAACACAAGTAAGAAGAAAGTATGTAGATACACACTCACAACACGACGCAGTAGCCATGCTGCTCTTCCTTGAAAGCATATTCGTCTGTGATTTGATCCACTCAGCACAGGCGAAAGAATTGGTAGTTGATAGTCAAATGGCTGAGACAAGTGAACCGGAAGATTGTTTGATTCCCTCTGCATCTCCCTGTAAACGTCTCTGCTTTTTAATGCAATGCATTTGAGTGGATTAGGTGATTGACATCGTGAGTCTTCAGTCTTGGCTTATTGAAAACGGCTGATTTCCCCAAGATCATTTTTCTGGGGAATCCATAATAGTTAATTTTGACACAGTTTTCTATAGAAACTATTCAGTACATAGCAAGGTGTCTTTTTTCTTCTGTATGAGGGCTAAGCATGTGGATGCCAGGCTGAAGACTGATAGCCTTCGGCCTAAATCGTTGAAAAGTAGTAGGACTATATATAGTTAAGCAAGGCAATAAAATACAGAAAAGTTGTCTATTTACAAGAGGTGGCTATGCAAGAGAACCACTGAAACCCTGACAAGCATTAATCGCCAATTTCAAGACCTATGATTTTTGTGATTTCGTTACATACGATAAGTCGAAATAAAATGAACCGACACTGTTGTTTTCCTAATCAGCAGCTTACCCGGCAGTTAGGTACCATTGCTGAAACATAATAGCGGAAGAAAAAATCATCTAGGAGTATGACGCCAGTAGTAATACACTGTGTTAGAATAAAGTTCACATTCATTTTTAGAGAAAGTTACTCAGTTTATGTGGATAGTGAAAACTAAGCTAGGGACATAGTAATCGTACTAATTACCACAAAAGAAGTTAGAAATGGAATAGAAGCCCGCCTGCATAAGATTGGTCATTAAACTTTGGATGCCTTAAGCATCTGGATGAGAACTAGCAAATAAATAATTAAAGTTGATATAATTAATTATAATAAAGGTTTTTGTATTTCCCAATGAATGAAAAACAAAACGATATTTTCATTCATTGGGAAATACAAAAACCTTTATTATAATGCATATCATTTACCCAATGCCCAAATTTTTTCAGACCGTTAAAAGTGAACTTGGTTTGCACATATATAACTTGATATAATTAATTTTACTCATATGCTGGGAATGTGAAGTACAACTTAAGGAGCAAAGAAAGATTTCTGAGTTATGAACTTGCCATAAAGCTAGGAACACGGATTGTACCTACTAGTCACACGGTGCCAAGCAGCAAGGTCTTTATGACAGATTCAGTGCATCATTCTGGGCAAAAATTTACACTCGGAAGCTGTACTTGAGCAGTCGTCAAAGTAGAAAAGACGAGTAGGCACGCCAGTATCCAGAAAGCATGTATAGAAAATAAGATGGCACTGAAATGCAGCCTCTGAGAGGTTTATGCAGGATTAAGCACGAGGAGTACCATTTAATTTCGAACCAACATTTACGTGTTAAGGTCGTTCAATCAACACTGCACTTCTGTATACCCCGCGTATTCAAAGTTTGCTTTACAAAAACTCAGTAGTTTATTACCTTGGAGAACTATGAGGTGTGCTTCAAAGATCTTTGTTCCTATCGCGATTGAAATAATAAAATTGGTGGTTTATGCATATGAATACCTCACATGGCCACTGTACTATCTGTTCAGCAAGACTTTGAGATACATGCCGCTTCCAAATTCACCTGTTGAAAGCGATTGGACTTATAATGAAGAGGAAAGTCGTACTCTGGCATTGCCTGTACGGGATGGTGATCCTAGTTCACCGTGGAGAGCAGTTGAATCACTTGATGGCCTGACAAGTGGATTACCTGGATGTAAAGATCTAGTTGACATATGGCTTCGCACAGTAAAATTGTGGCCTGACCTGCCTGCTTTTGGTACAAGAGCTGTTCTGAATACAGACTACAAGGTAAGTGTGTATGCATGTGTGAGGTATGAAAGTTGCCATTGCGAAGAGATTTCGTCTAATTAAGTTACTCTGGCTGGGAACTTGCCGTATCACCTAAAAGACTAGTATAGCTAACCCATGCCTACAGAACTAAACTCATTGTTTGCTTCTAACGTATTTACGTGGTTAGTATCTGGTACGTTGGTGTATCGTAGCCATCTCAATCTATGCAGCTTTACAACCCCGCCGTAGATCTTTCCTTACCTAACACTACGCGTAACCTCAATATTGCCATATGCCACTCTACGTGGATGACAAAACAAACTTGTGGTCAAATAAAGTTATCCTCTTCAAGTCTCTGACTGTGATCTTAGCTTTGTCTTATGGTACTTTTTATGAAATCCTGCAACACCTTAGGATTTTTGTCACAGTGAGCTTTTACATATTACAACGTAATAAATCCATTATTTCTTGGAGGTGTAGATCGAGACGTTGCAAGATAGTTGGGAGTTCTCTCTAGCGTATGATTATTTCCGTATATAAATGCTCATGTTTTTGTATTCTACATCCATATATTTCATACTTGCATTGCAGTGGAAATACACGCAGCTCGTATCTGTCACTCATAGATTGTGTCCATGTGCAGTTTTTCATCCTAATCATTCTGGTAATCCTTTGCATTAAATGTTTCCTTCTCTTCGCTTACAAACGTACCTATAACAGCTTCATATATGTATATATATATATACATCTAAAGTTCGGGACGTAAATTTCTAGTGGTTTAATTATCATAATATTTTGCTGCTTGGAATTTACTGTTTACAAGGACAGATTAGTTCGCTGATGACATATTTGCCCTAGAAGTTAGCATAATTACGGGTAGCAGATTGTCTGAAAACATTCGTTAAATAGGTGTCACTTTTGTATCTGGCCAAGGGGCACAGAGTTGAAACTGTTGTATAAAGTAGTCGTCTTGTGGTGTAATATACAGTACTTTTGAATACTTGAGACAACTCTAAACACTGAAGTCAAAATACGCCGTTCAGTATTTTAATATGTTTAGGTTGGTTAGTTTAGTGCATCTGTTTATTTATTCAGGTGAACAAGAACTGAAGTTTAAAACACTAATGTTGTTTATAAATTTATCATTTAATTTTCTGCTCTCAAATGTTATCCTGCACTAGACTGCTCCCGATGGACGACAAATGATTGAATTGACTTTGGGTGAATATTCTTGGGAAACATTTTGGGACGCTGAACGTCGTGTGTCTAATTTAGCAGCAGGTTTGTATTCAATGTTGGGGTCCGTCAGAGAAAGCAATCAACCAATTGCAATTTTCAGTGAAACAAGAGCGGAGTGGATGTTTGCTGCGCAGGCCTGCTTCCGTCTCAATAGACCTGTTGCTACTTTGTATGCCACACTGGGTGAGGACGCATTAGTGCATGGATTCAATGAAACAGAGGCAAGTTAAGAGTTGAAATCATGATATCTTACATTCAGTGTGGTCTGATTTCATCATTGTGAATATTTATACCATTATTTTTCACTTCAAAATATATCATAATCTCAGGTCATTTATAAATTAGCCTCACTTAGTACCCGTTGTGAAGCATCTTATTAGATCTAGCACTATTTAGTAAACATTGATTTCTTTATTCGTCGTCTGCTTCACTTGTTAGAGAAACCTAACACTTGTGCATTTTAAATAATACTTCCTAGTGGAGTATTTATTGTAATATTGTACACGAAACCATTGTTAACTGGCAAATCTCTGCTAATCTACTACTTTTATTTAGGTGGGTTTCGTTTTGTTCCATTCGAACAGTGATAATAAATGTTGTTCTATACAGTGTGTCCCCTAAAACTCTACATAAAATCTAGAGTGTATCAACAAGAAAACAGGGGTAGTAATTCTCGATAATTGTGCTCTGAACCGTTTCATCAGTTCTAAATGATTCAGAGACTTGATGCGTCACCAAAAATAATCCCAACAGATTTCATATTTTTATCAACAGCTGCCTTAGATGTCTCCATACTGAAAATCAGATGACTGGTAAGAAAGGATTAAGAACAAGGAACTTTGGGAACTAGCCAACTAATTAACAGTCGTCAAAAAATATGCTGAAGGTAGTGAAGATGGATAAAGCACACTGAGGAGCCCGTTGAGTGATATCGCACTCTGTGCCCTTGGGTGGAACCCGAATGAGAGTTGACAAGTTGAGCGTTGGTCCTAGGGTGGCATGGAAGAGATCATGTTGGAAGAAAACGACAGTTTATAGACAATCTCGGAGCTAGTTAAAGAAAACAAGTTGACGCGGTGATGTGCTGTCGAAGTTCTATGTTCCACTCAGAACTTGAAGGTATGATTTAATTTGATTTGATTGCTCCATCAAACTGGTTACTATAAGTAATATAATTGTCCAAAACTTAATTCCTTATCTTCCTGAAAATGTGGTCGTCGATTACTGTTGATTTAATGGTTGAGAAATAAGTAAATATAGCTTTAAGTGAATTGGCCATGGTCCAGCGTAAACAGTGGGACTGCCTATTACCACTCAACATAGAATCTGAAAAAATAGCACTACTTTACTAATTGATTTTGACGTTTTTAATGTTTTCTTCACTCTCTGATTCACCAGTAAAACGAAAGTGAATTGTATAATAAGATTGATTTGCTACCGATCATGCTGTTCTTAAGGTGTAGCGACTGCAGAGCATCCTATTACTACTTTTACTTTTTACCTTCACGCTGCTTTCACTCAGCAGCGCCTATTCACCTTCTAAGATGCAAATATTTACGGAAATTATAACTTTTAACAGATTATCCAGTTTCTGACCGTCTTTGCACATTATGGGACAAGAAAAAGCTGCTAAACATACGCAATCGTTAAATACTTGCGTAACTGTAGCAAATAATTTTTCCTATCCTCTGTAAGTGTAGTAAATCATATCTTCTCAATTTTTCTGCACATTAGTTATATCCATCCCCCTACTCATTTTCCGTATTAGGAACAAATGATAAGGTTTAAATAAATGCTGATAGCCTGGCGTGCTTTATAAATCGATTCACTTTATAGTCATTCACTTGTGAACAGTACACTGTCTCGATTGTTCAGTGTGACGTTTAACTATTTTGTTGCTATTTACAATATTTTTCGGAATTATTTTTATTGAAAAGAACTGAATTACATATAGAAGAGTGTATATTTTCAGATGTACTGGTTTTTGAAAGTATTGGAAATTATTGTCATTTTGCCCTGAGCGTGTTGCTTATTTGTATTGTTTGTACACTGCGGAAACTTAACAAAAACTTTCTTATTTTGTGCTATGCCTAATATTAATATGTTAATACAAAATATGGTGTTTGATGTAGTTCTTTTACAATACCCTATTTAAATCTCATTTTGATAATAACAGGCTGTAGTCGTATTGACAAGTGATGAACTCCTGTCTAAAGTGATTAAAATTGTCCAAAGATGTCCTTCAATTCAACGCGTTGTCTATTTCACAAATGGAATCTTCAATCGGGAGCTTTATACAGAGGTTGATAATCTGGCTGTACCGACGGGAACTGCTACAGCTAGTATTGCTGAAGCATTAATAAAATGCCCACCAAACTTGCATTTACACGATATTATTGAAGTAGAACGCTTAGGAGCTGCTGTGATCATGAAAGAAAAAGAGAAGCAGAAAGCAAATGGCGCTTTGCCAACTGCAGGTGATAACAATCATTCTTCGAATGGCTATGAAGGTTTATGGATGCCTCCTGTGTCAGATCGGGTCAAGCCTTCGGATTTGGCTGTGATTATGTATACAAGTGGATCAACAGGTATCATTTTAGTCATATCTTACTAACTTTATTCATTGTTTGCATGTGGTCTCGCTCTTTAGGTGTTTGAAAATTATCTTTTTCTATCCCATTGATATATTTAGCTATTATTTCACCTAACCGTCGTCATACAAATGTTGAAGCACTTACAGCCTCTGTTGTGAGTGTACTCATTGCGCATAACCGGGTTTCAGAGTTATTTAGTATTCTCAGCTAAACAGTATCTAAACTAAAGGGATTACTCGGATACTTCCGTGACACAATATTCGAAACAAGTTATTCATTCTTAATAAGTTCGTGTTTTGGTATTCTTTATTTTCTACCTATCGTCCTTTATTCTACCTACAACCTGATTTTTAATATTAGTAGCGTGTTCTTCGCTCCTCCCGAATCCTGCTGGCTTACTGTCAGTGTATTATTTAATTTAATTTCATTATAAGTGTAGGAGTGGATATGATCCTGGTCAGCTTTGACGGTTAGATGATTGACTTGTGTCCAGGATAAAGTTTCGTTGATGTAGAGTACTTGAATAGAGACGCTTATAGTATACAGTTTTTTGAACACCCTTATCAAATATCCAAGTATGTTTAGTTCACCTCTGTCAATTGTAAGACTGCTGCAGATCTGGTCTCCACCCGCTCCTGAGCACTTCACTTATTTGGGGATTTGAATCATTTCTAATGAATGAATTGCTGACAAAATGTCTACATGTATACGTAGAGCTTGCTGATATTTACCAAGTTACGTTGTCTTTGGTTTAGGCATTATATTCAGTTTCCTATCGAGTCTGCCTAATGTTCGGTGATTTTCGTTGTGATAATTACTACTGAACCCAAAAGGTATGGAAAGATTAGTTTCTTGATCATGGGTATCTCAGTTCATTCTTGCATTATTTAGAACAATATGGTCAACAGTAATGATGTTAGACGTGTTGTTAGATAAAGAGGATGAGTCAAGCGACCGAGTTGTTAAGCTACACCAATTGAGTGGGCCATTGCTTTCCTCGATGAGAAACCGTAGCTAAAGGAAAGTATAAATGTGGTGTAGCACCAAGCCACAAAGTTTGACTGCTGGTTTGAACCACGTGGATAGTGCAAACTGCCAGACTAGGCTTTTTGGGATGTGACATAGGTGTGTATATTCCGTGTGATCCCCTAGGTTGCAAAAGTGCTCACGAATGTTCATCCTATTATTACCTCTCTTGTATGTATTCATTCATCGTAGTTTTATTACATTTGTTTGCACTCCTTTCATGTGTACTTTTTGTATATATATATAGCAACTTGAATGGATGCACTTTTGTGCAAAGTTCTACTTTAATAAATCAGTTATTCCAAGTTAAAGATGGATTAAGCGGTGTGACTGTTCACCTTACTCCCTACTCTACATTGAATGATCTTAAGGTTCTTTTTTGATTGCACACTAGTCAGTAACTAGTGTAATGTGTCTAGTCCTATCTTCGGTGCAGACTGAATTCTATCAGTCATGTTTGCAATGTGGCCACCATGCTAGGTGGCTCACCATTACGGTGCACTGTGAATTGTTGCTATTAGATGGTTCGAGGCAATCGGCAGGAAGCCTTGGACCTAGGTTTCGTGCTAGTTGGCACCCACTAGTCAGCAAGGCGTATATGTAACATCGAAGCAACTCATGTCCCTTCTGAGATTCGAACACGCGTCACCACCCAGTGAGAGCTGCAGTCAGAGATGTTACTACTGAGTTACTCAGGCTCGCGACTGACCTCCTATAGGACTGTATTGGATATTTTTGATTGGACACTAGTAAGTAACTAGTCTAATGTGCCAACTAGCACGAAACCTAGGTCCGAGGCTTCCTGCCGATTGCCTCCAACCATCTAATTCCAACGATCTTAAGGTTCACTTGTTTCATTGAAATCAGTCCAACTAGTCCAGTACTTAGATGAATCTTGTTGAAGTTAACTTGTAATATTTATCTATTTTACCCAGTAGAATCATAGCTAATTCCTAAACTGTAATTCTGCCCACAGAATCTATGTACTCATGATTGATTTCTCAGCATATACAGACTGATAAAATCATTTTTCATTTAATTTTTTAAATAAGCACTTCTAATATTTTGATTTGAATTCATTTAACTGCGTTTGTGTTACTCTCAACAAATAAAAACATAAATTGCGCGATTGATTAGCTTTCGTTTTTAAGTTCATTTCTTCCTTACACTCATTCGCTACGAATAAATAAACTATTATATTGTGCTCATCTCCTTAAAATTTACATATTAACGCCAGAAAAAATACAATCTGAAAAAAATATCTTCTTACATAACGATTTTCATTACCAACAATGCAGTAATTCTGATTTTATGCGTTTATGATGAGTGTATAAACAATCAATATATGTATAAAGTTCATTTAGTAATAAAAAAAAGATAATGGTGCTGTCGCACTTACAAATGTTGCTTATATATTAGTATTGACTTTCACTTCATTCTTTATTTCGATTTCTCTTGATGTGAAGACATTAGCAAAAGTTATTGAAAATTAATATATGCTCAAGCAATGCGTGGATATTTCTGTTTGTCTGCATAGAATGTTGTTATAGGAAATCACAAAAATAACACTGTGCAGTAGTTTGCTTTGTCTCCCTTTATGCGTGTGAAATATACTCATTGAAAGTAGAAGTTGTGGAAAGGCTAGTCGTCTTTGACCACAGATGCCTGCATTCTATCTGCGGTGGTAATAGGTATAATATGGTAAGCACTATTGAGGTTAGGTGTAGTGCTAGGTAAGGAGGATCAGTTAATCGGTGAGGTTGTATAGCTTTATATAGATTAAGATGGCTAGAACACGTGTTACCCATCCTGAGGCATCGCTTTTCTCGACAAACAGTGTTAGCTGACGTAGGATTAGGACGGAAACGGACTGCTCAAACGAAAACGTGGAGTCACTCCATGAAGTCTCTGACAGTTGGTTTGAGTCAGTCACGTAGGGAGGTGCAGACTGTCTGGTTGGAGTCCTGGGGATGCTAAGACCCAATGGTTAGAGGACTGTTAGTGATGCAGCTTAGACTCCTTCTAATTGGCACAGATGCATTCACTCACTATGATTTGTCATATCCATTAATCCATGTTGCCGTTCTTTCTTCCTCACATATGTGCTCATTATAGCTCGTTTGAATCTCTCTTTTTTTCTTACCTTTGTGTACTATGTGAAATGTGACAACTTGAAGGACACTGCACTTCTGTGCAAAGTTCTATGTTGAAACTCAGTCAGTCAGAGTGGTATCTCAGAGGCCTATATGTTATTCTCTCCTGTTATGTCAATATAAATCTCAATTTCCTGGAAAGTAGTCATGAAACTGTCTCTTCTTAATATGGTATATATCTTGCATTGTCAGAGTGTCGTGTACTTTTACAAGAGCTCCAGACATCTCTGTCTTTGACCATTCTTGATGTTGAGACGTTAGGTGTAGTATAGGAATTCGTATGAGTACTATTTGTGTGACGAATGAAACTCCCAATCTGATGATATTAGATAGTTGGAGACAATTGGCAGAAAGACTTGGACCTAGGTTTCGTGCTAGTTGGCACTCGTTAGCAAGGCGTATCTGCAACCTTGAAGGAACTCATGTCCCTTCTGAGATTCGAACTCGCGTCACCACCCAGTGCTACAGTCAGAGACGTTACGACTATTCGGTCTCGCGATTGACATCCTGTAGGACTGTAGTGGGTATTTTCATATCAGATACACCTTGCGGACGAGTGCCAACTAGCACGAAAGCTAGGTCCAAGGCTTCCTGCCGATTGGCTCCAACTATCTAATATCATGAAATCAATGTGCACCGTGATGGTGAGCTACCTAGGATGGTGGTGGCCACATTGCAAACCTGACTGATAGAATTCAGTGTGCACCAAAGAAAGGACTAGACGCGTCACACTAGTTACTAGTGTCCCCAGGAAATTCCCAATCTTTCAGTATTATCATGACAGTAGTCTTGCTGTGAAATAGCTCACTGGGGGATGATTCTATCTCGCATCTGTTGTTTCTGAAACCTCTAATTTTCTCATATTTTGGCATTATTATCTATGCTTCATTTTTCGGTAGTCGTGTTGATACGTGTACAGTGTTTTTGAACTCAGTCACCCGGGACAGGTCATTCATGTGCCAGGCTATGTACTACACTTATTGTGTGAGGGGTGATGTTACTACTCCATTTCCCAGACTGGAATAGATGGAACGGGATGACAAATTAATGTTATTGCGGATCAGTAAAGACGTATTATATAACAAGAAGTAAATATTGTGACAACTGAGACTTATATAAAAGCAGAGAGTTTACGGATTTGGGACTAATCCCCTTTTCTGGAGTCACACTTCACCTACCAAAATTTGAGCAGTTAGTTGGAAGAAAATTAACTTCTGACTCCGCCTAAACAATTTAGCATTTAGTATTTGAGGGTGTGTATTCTTTTAAGACTTCAGTTTTACTTATATACATATAATTAGTGTTTGCCAGTCATATAACATGAATTTCTTGCCCAGTTGAATACGAAATATCCTAGACAGAAACAGTCAATCTGACTTCACTCATAATCTTCTTTCACTTTTGAATTAAACTCGTCTGTAAGACATATAAGTAAACGTTTCACTTAAATCCCTTCATGACTAATATTTGGCTAACCAGCTGTAATTGTTTACTTTGTTCTTCTTCGATTTGAACTTCTAATTACTCACCTGTCCCCCTCTGAATTGGTGTTGGTAGGTCAACACTTTTTACTTCATGTGGACTGCAACCAAATAAAATTATGGGTGTGGTCGTCATACTTTCAACTGTGTGACTAATTCTTAATTTATTTGATTAAAATGTATTTTTATGCATGAATTAGTCATAGGTGTGTGTGTGTATGCATGTTTGTCTGTGAGAGAGTCACTGTTATATATTGTCTATAGTAGAATTGTGTTCAATTCATATATATATATATATATATATATATATCGAGTGAAACTCATTCTTATGTTTGTTTAAACTTTGTGATATAAGGTAAACACATTAATAATCAATACGCGCATAGCTAAAACTATCACAAGGTGGCTTGCACATTTAGTTAGTTAGTGGAGATCTAATCAAAATTGTCTATGATGTGAAACGCATTTGGACCATTGGATCGGGTCCCACTAGCTCAATAGTCTACGAGCTCGCCTTGTAACCAGAAGGTCCTATGTTCGAACCGTGTCTATGGGGCGTACTGCAGAAGAGTCCCAAAGAGCTGGGACGAAACGGCTATCCAGTACTCCCAGGTTTTCCAGTGGTTCTCTAACTGATGTCAGCTCATGATGAAATCCTCCATGCATTTGTATTTGTTTATGTTCTCACAGCTGGTTGATTTAATTGTGAAGCTTTCATCATTGTCTTTCTAGACATCTTCAACTCAAGCTTTAACATATAAAGTGAACTCTTTTGAATTCTCCATGACTACTGATATAACTGTATCTCTTAACAATCCATCGTTGTTACTGGTTGTTTATTTAGATTGATCATATGTTGTTCGGATTGTGGAAATAAATACTTAAGGAAGTCTTAATTTAGCATTCCTATTAAGTCATGTGAATGTTGGCATTTTTTATTGATGTATATAATGACCTGAAAATGTTTTCACCATTGTTGTTATTGTTATGGGTTTATATGTTAAATGCTTGGAGACTATTGGCAGGAAAACTTAAACCTGGATTTCGCACTTGTCGGCATTCATCAGCAAGAAACTCGTGTCCTATCTGACGTGGGAACTCGTGTTGATTGACACCAACCAGCTAACATCAATTCAGAGTGGATGGCGATGGCGAACCGAGCTTGATGAGACCACATTGCAAAAACTTGACTGACGGAACTCAGTCTGCATCAACACCCAAGGACTAGGCACATGACAGTAGTGTTACATCTTAGTGACCAATCAATGTCGGGCTTGTGTTTTTGGAGAACTCTCTGTTCGTTTGCAACTAGATCTATTGCCTGTCGTCTGTCCTTTACACATATTTCTCAACCTACTGCTCATCATATATTTTTCCCATTGTCTCAAGCAACTGTGAATCAATCCGTCATCCTATGGATGCTACTTTTTTTAACGTTTATCACTTAATATGGCGTCTTTTTGAACTGCTGAATGGGGTGTAATTACCTCTGGCTACAATTATAGTTTTCAGAATTGGATGTCTGGTTTTTGTCGGACACTAAGGACATGATATACGGTGGTTTAAAAAAGCTTTATTTAATTTTTAAGGGAAGCATAATTTGATTATTAACTGTATATTCGGAACCCTGGTGGGTGCGTACTGCTGAAGAGTCCCAAACTAGAACGAAACAGCTGTCTAGTACTCCCAGGTTTTCCAGTGGTTCTCTAACCAATGTCAGTTCATGATGAAATCCTGTAACCAATCAACCAAATCCCTACAAACCAATACTTAAATATGAATATAATTTGTGTGTCAATTCACTTATTGACACATGGAAGAAATATCTTAGATGAGAGAGTGATTCCTGAATCAGGACTATTTCTCATCATGAATGGGAGTACAATGGATATTGCAAGATAATATAGCGGAAAAAAGTGAAAAGGTATACTTTCAATCAATGCCAGTAATGTCCGTACGTAGTTTTCTAAAGTTTCTCGGATATAATAAATAATCAGAAGTTGACGCAAACTTTAGCAATTACTTTCGATACTACCGTGCTAAAATGTTTTACATTAATTAAATCGATTGAGCTGTTGCTATGATTGAGTGTGAAATTTCTAAGTTAACTTCCTTTTTATTGCACACTTCTTATCTCTACAGGTCAACCAAAGGGTGTTGAAATGACACATGAGAACTTAGTCAGTGCTATAGGTGGCCATCTACAACGTTTACCAAAACTGCGTAGTAACTACGACATATATATTGGTTATCTACCGTTAGCCCATGTGCTAGAGCTGACATGTGAATTGTGCTGTGTCATAATGGGTGTCAGGGTAAGTTCACAATAGTCTTTTGTATTTATTTCCAGTGCAGTATTACTGGCTTAGTTGTTTAGATATATCTTTATTTTAAGCAGAGTATCTGTTGTTCTGTAACTTTCACTTATAAATCTGAAACTGAGTGACTAAGTTTTCATTCTTCTTATTGACAAGGCTAAATGGTGTGATAGGAAATTCAAGCCCAGAAGGATATTTCTGTCCTACAAAAGTTCATTGTCACAAAGATACCTAAATTAATCTCATGAAGGGTTAAGACATTTCCAGCTGTGTATGTGTGTAATCGTTCTTATCAGAATTTGTATGTGTGTATTCCTTGTTTAACCTTCCTCTTAATCTTGCCTGCACCTCTGTGAATTATACTAGGGGGGTTACTCACACTACTGAACGATGTTACTTTGTTCTATAATTTCAGCATCTTTTCCTGTGAGAAGTGGTATCCTAAAGAAGTAAAAAATATATTGTAGTCAAACTTCATATATGAGCTTCTCCTTTATAATCTGATCCATTTTTGTTTTATTTTCTGACAAGTACGCTAGGTACTAATAAATTAAGGAGAAGTGCATCACAGCAGTACCCGCTTAACTGTTCGTCTTTTTTCGTATTCTTTCGTTGAACTATCTTTTGTTTTACAGATAAAGCTTCTATTTCTGTCCCCATATATATTTCATTCGATTGTTACCTTCAGCTCTTACATAGTAGTTATTACCCACCGCGTTCCTTTCATTCTTATGCATTCTGAATAGGAATGCAGAGCTTTATTCACGCCCTACCTTCCCACTTTACCAGGAAGCTTACTATCAGCCTAATAAGGTTTAGGAGTGTGTCGGCCGTGGATCGAGCCGCGAACCACCTGCATGATTGCCGAACATTCTGCCGTTGAACTACCCAGGCAAAAATAATAAGTTAGTACATAACTATTCACTTACACTGTTATCTTACTCTTTTCAAATGCAGATCGGTTATTCAAACCCACAAACGTTGACAGACACATCTTCGCGTATTAAACGTGATCACTGTGTAGGTGATGTTACCCTACTACGACCGACTCTTTTCGCCAGTGTACCTACTGTGCTGGAACGTATTTCTAAAGCTGTTTGGGAGAAAGTTAACGCTGGAGGGGAATTCCTTCAATTGGTAAGTTTCTACAACTATTTTGTATATTGCATATTTCTTTGTAATAGTGGTGGTATTAACAAGCATTAATAGTTTGCTGGCGAATACCGACAATTGAATTTCGTTTTGTTTTTTTTAATAAGCGCAATGGTTAAACATTTTCTGGTACTAACGCATTTAATATAAAGGAATGATCACATCAATTAGTGTACTTAGAGGTTTTGCACTTTTCTTTTTTAACTGGCTTCTGTAACTTGAGCTATCTACAGAAAACTCTAAACCCATGTTTAATACTTTTCTACTAAATACCTAACAAGGGGAGTTGAAGCTGTCTCTCCTAACATTTGCATCTGTTCCGTTTACTGCTAAAAATAGACAAACGATGACATCAATATACGTATTCGTCTAAGAATCTATCGTTTAATGTTATCTTACTTTACCATGCATAAGAAGAACAATGTAGCCGGTAATATACCAATTATATTTTATCCGGTTGAGAGTGAATACAATGGCATTGATATTTTAGTTGTGTTACATGAGATATCCAAACAGATTATTGTAATATTTTATGAAGCCTAAAACAGTACCTTGTTTATGACAGTGATTACTGGGTTGTGGCTAGAATGCGCCTCCACAATATGAAACTATAAATAACTAATCACTTCAGATTATCTCCTACACTGGGACTGTCAGTCAGACTAGGAAAAATAACGACCAAAACAGCAGCAACCTTTATGAAACAAAATACATGGTATATTTACAAACTTTCAGAAATCCAAGCCATGAATAAAACAAATCCGACTTGTTGTATGACACTGTAATCCTTCAGAAAATTAAGGCATAGATAAACGAGTCAGTACTGTAACGACAGAAGGCAAGAGTCAGGCAACGGATCATTTATTAAGGAAATCAACGCATATTTATATATGTTTTCATGTACATTACTATGGATATGTAAACAAACAAACAGTCTTCCGATTGGTTGTTTCTCACGACAAATCTTGGGAACGTAAATATTGACGTAAATTACTGTCTACCAATTTGGCTAGTAGACAGCTCTCACCACAGTACCAGTATAAATCACAAGTTCACAAGTTGTCGGTTGGCGGACACTTGGAAGCTACTTTATTGGTCTGTGTACTCTCCGTCTATGATATAGCTACATTGCAATTAGAGTCACTGATTCTAAATTGTGCACAGTAATAATATCTTTCGGATCGCAAACTAAGTGATAGTCTTATTTTCCTCAGTAGGAAGTTATTTGAAGCGTCACTACTAGATCCTTCTTGGTTCCTTGCGCATATTGTTTAGATGTGTGACTACACGAATCACTGTATAATGAAATATCATGTTACTTTGCTTAATATGGCTACAATTTCTTAACCGGTCCCCTTAAATCTAGTCACTACCATGGCAGAGCATCAACATCTTTACCTCCATAAAGTTCTTCGCTTTTTCACTCCTCTATGTTCTGAATAAAACAGGGCTTCAGTAGTAGTGGTGTTGTTTTACGGAATGAGGTTGCTATCTTCATGTCCAACCTTCCTTACTTTTGTGTCTTACTACCACCTAGTAGACCAGGCGAGATTCAGGGATGCGTCGTCCGAGAATCTAACCCGAACCACCAGCTTGACTGACGAGCATTTTACAAGTTCTCCACTACAACTTGCTCATTTGACTTTCAGTCAATAGATCCCGGGCTCTATTATTGCCCCACATGTCTACCTCAGCCTGGGTAGCTGGCAAGGTGGTGTTATCAGTTCGCACACAATAAGTATGCGATTTATGACCAGATACCGGATAATTGATTACTAACTATTAATTCTGTGAAATACTTCCCCCCTCTTGGGCCTCTACAGTAGTTCTTATGTTGCCTATACTGATAGCAGTTTTCACAATCATTATGACTGACTTCACAATTTAATATCAATTTCTAATCTAGGGATGTTTTATTCCGTGAAAACGGATTTTACTGTGAACTGTATTAATGTGGTGAGATGTTAAACAATAATTAGTATTTAATTGGTGGATAGTGACTAGCAGTGGAATCCAGGACGCGCATTTCGTCCTATTTGGGACCCGTGAACTGGATGTGCCTGCATTCCGGGGTGAGTGAGTGGTGATGTTTCCACCGAGGCTCAAGCCCAAGTGGTCTAGGGGATAACGCTTTGGCGTTTGAAACTATGGGCACTGGGTTCGACCCTCAATGAGAACATCATCACCCACTGCGGAATGCAGGTACATCCAGTTGACTATTCTCAAATAGGACGAAATGAGCATCCTGGATTCCACTGCTAGTTAGTCACCATCTACCAATTAACTTCTAATAACATGATCACACATCATTGAAGCATCTGCGCAAGAAGCCGACATGTCAACCTGAGACCGAGCAATTGGGTTCAATCAATCGACGGGAAAATCTAAAAATTGAATTAAATAATTAGTATTATGGAGGTACATATCACACAAGTCTATCTTGAAGTATGAAGAATACCCTTGTGATGTAAGTATAAAAAACAAATTAGCAAAGAGTACTCTTTTCGTAACTCCACTTCGAAGGTATACAGTTGTCTAGTGTTCTAAAAGATCCATTGAACGCCAGAACATTTCAAAATTACATATCGGGAAAAATAATGAATAAATTACGTAACTTAACCATGCTGTTTTACGTAATCTAATCCAATCCCTCTCAGAAATAATCATCACTGTAACTGTAAGCGCTCAGCAAACAAACAGAATTACTGTTCATAAGAGTAAGAGATTCATAACATGCTTAATGTTATCTACTAAAATTAAAAGTTTGAAAAGAAAAAGAAGGATGAATGAATATGGATTACATGTGCCAAATTAAGTAAAAGATCTAAGCTTGTCACCTAGACATATTCGAATTGACTCAGTGTGTCTATAAGCGTACTCCAGCTATTTAGAGTAGCATAAATAGTTCAAATAAGCAGGTAGTTTTCTTATAATCCCTTAAAATTATTCCTTGTTGAAAACGATAGTCCACTGCGTGTTGGCATTGGATTATAATCATTTCACATAAAATTAAAATCATCAAATATAGAATATGTGCACATCTTTTAAGAAGAAGAAATAAAAGTATCATATCCTTCTGTCAAATTCTTCGCTGTATTCTGTTTAGCTGTTGCATTCATATGACTTAAAGCTCCAAGTTATATTACTTTCATTTATATTACATACGTTCATATGTATTAATATGGCGTAAATGTGTGAGAGAGAGTGACTACTCATGTGTATATCAAGGGAAACTTATCTGTTATTGGATTTCATCATGAGCTGACATTGGTTAGAAAACCATTGGAAAACCTGCAGGGAGTACTGGATAGCTGTTTTTGTCCTAGTTTGGGACGCTTCAGCAGTACGCACCCACACTGCGGGGTTCGAACCCAGGACCTACTAGTTACAAGGCGAGCTAGTAGACCATTAGGCCCTTGTGGGACCCGATCCAATGGCCAACCCATGAATTCTAACCTCGGCCAATTGACGAAATAGCGCGTCCACTAGCCAATGTTTTCGGCGAGTATTTGTCCTCTCACCGGACCTGCTGCACCCTACTGGTCATGCCTTCCCACTAGAACCCCAGGTAACAACCTACCTACCTACCTACAAACCAATACTTGAATATCTGTTATTCTCTAAACGGAGCAAAAACCATCGTAATGATTATTTGTAGTCTTTCACTATTATTTTCAAGTTTTTGCAGATAATCACAATGAACACCACATAAAGTATACATTACTTATATTTTGACTTTATTTTTGGTTCTCCAGCCTATTTATTATTATGTGTCATATACTAGTCTGTTAATTTCTTTACTCACATATTCTTTCTTACACACTTGTTTTTTATCACTCGATATATTTCTATCTTGATGTATGCCAGTTACCACCAGGTAAATCATGTGATGCCTGACTGACTCTTCATTCTGACCTATTACAGTAATTATTTCTAATTTTAGAAAGAAAAAAAAAGTAATGATTTTGCTTCACAATGATATGTGTATAGGTTATATACTACTACCCTTCTGTCTGCATCGAATTTAAGCTGAGATGACTCAATTCAGTTGTGTAAGTCAGTCTGTAAGCTTAAACTATGGCTGCCTTCATTCGTGGTGTTTTGTCATTCACAGTATGTGTTTCACTTGACGATGATGACGACAATGATGACACCATTAGTGCACCATGAATTTTCATAAACAGCATATCGATGATAATCACTGGAGGTTAGAGAGAGATATTTTAAGTGTGTGTGTGTGTGAAACCATATCGAGTGTTTATCAACACAAAAATGACATATCATTGTTAATTATAAGTTTAGTTGTTTACTGTTGACAGTAAATGAAAACGGATGAATAGTGTCCAATTATGACACACATGATAAACAGAAACATACATGCACACAGAGATGTGTATGTGTGTGTGTATTGTTTATCTGCACTCAATCTTGTTTACACACATTGTTTGTGATTGATTGTGAACCCTAACTTGGTAAAAATCACTCATTTTTGGTAGATGATACCTTATCGAGTGTTGGCTATCTGTCATGCGATAAAAATTTTTTATTATTATTATTACCTAACTGAAATTCATGTGTGTTCACATAACCTAACTTACTTAGCTCATAGTGACTTCTGCTACATATTCCGTTCTATTGTTGTTACCTTGTGTGTGTGTGTGTGTGTGTCTCGTAATTGACTGACAAAAACAAAGCGTAAATATCATCAATGGTGAGATCATGTGTATGCCACACTTTGTAAATCTTCCATAACAAACAGGAAGGCACAGTTAAAGTAATGTGATTTTTCAGCATCAGCATATTTGTATTTGTATTTGTGGGCTTGCATGGTTTACCTGTAATTTGATCACACATTCGTTTTACGTATATACGAACATATGGAGCATATCTCTCAAATTTTCTTTATCTAATCTATTTGACTTATAAGCCTTTTTCAAATACACTTAGTTGGAATTGTTAAGATGAAGACTAACTGACTGAGTGGTTTCAGTGTAGAACTTTGCGCACAGATGTGCAGCAGTTCAAGTTGCTACACTCCATGTAGAGCGCATAAAGTAAGAGAAGAGAGATAATAAACAGGAATATGAGGCAGAAAGCATAGTAATACGGAAGAATAATAGCATTTTATTGAATATTATAAATCACAAAGAGTGAATACTTCTGCACCATTGAGCCATATCACCGATTTTCTCCAACCATTGGTTTTTACCATCCCAAGGACCCCAACCAGACTGGCAGTCTACATCTCCCTGCGTAGCTTTAAGTAACTGATGTGGTGGATTTCATTGACTGATGCCATGCCACCACTAGCTCTTCCAACCTGATTCTATCTTAGCTAAGATTGTCCGTCGAGCAAGGCGATGGCTAGACATGCATGCGTAACACATGTCCTAACCATCTCTCTCAATCGGTGTAACTTCACAACCGCGTCGATTGATTTTCCCTCCTTGCCTGCCTTTACGCCGGTGCCACAGTGGTAGAATGCTTGCCAACCACGTTGCTGGTCTGGCGTTCGATCCCCGGCCGACGCACACCTGATATTAATGGTTGGCCTGCAAATTTGGGCTACTGATATCGCATGCTGAAAATTCCATACTTGTACCAAAAATACGGTGTGAAAACAAACTGTAATCGAAAATAAATATATATTCCCTCATACTGCGTTGATGGTTCAGCGACATAACTCTCGCGTCAACCACGCACTTAGTCTGCAGTTCGATGTCTGTCTTTTAGCCGATAGTAATCCTGGTAAAGAGAATGAAGCCAGCAACCCAATCTCATAAAAAAGAAAAATCATCACTACTGAGACTTTAAAGCCCTATATTCCACTTGGAATATGTTCTCTCGGAATACTCGAAAGCATCTGCTGAAATGAGAATTAATCAATCAATACATACAGTTTAAACTCTCTGCTTCATATCTTGTATTGACTAGTCTAATTTCTATGTTACTATATTTCTCACATAATTTACGCTATATATATATATATATATATATATATATATATTATAAAAGCGCAGGATAAAATAAGTTAGAATTGTATTTTTGTGAAAGTGACTAATTTTCGATTTGATAGATTAGGCAGTATAGATTTTCTTTATGATAGACATTTTAGGGCTATGATACATCACAGTATGGTCGCCTAACTTTCTACCGATGAGCCACAGGTTTGAGCCCCACCCCACTTACTACCACGTTTTAGGTGACCTGGTAGCTCTATTAGCTCCCACAGAATAGGTGTAGTCCATTGCCAACTGTATATGAATGCAAGTGACTGATAGATAAGGTTTCTTCACTCTCAGCAATCGTACTACATATTTATTATGTTTCAACAATTATGAGGAAGTAGGAAAACCACTTGATGATAATGATCACTGCAAATAATCATATATGTTACCATTATTTAAAGATATCTCAAATTCCGCAAACAATTCTCGCCTTTTTGGAATTTATTTGAAATGTTTACACGTATTTGTTTTGTTGGTTATTGTGGTATATTAAACGAAAGATACGGCATTTAAATTGGATCAGATTTCTAGTGGTAATTCACTTAATCAGAATTTAATGCCTAAGTCAACTCACTATCATTATAAGGTACTATCTTCGTCGATCTTGGGAGTGGGTAAAAGTGTGGACGACTACTAATTTCCGGTTCTCTACGCCATGGAAGTTGATTTCTTCTTGGAGTAGTTGAAATATAAGTAGTATTAGTGTTGTTGACTTATCGCGCAGAGCCGGTCACATATACGACCGGTTTAAAGTGATTTCTGGCCTTGTTGAACAATATTAACTGATACAGTTAGGGAGGTGGTCATAACAGAATATATGATATCAATCCATGAGGTCTTTGACGGTTAATTTGAGTCACGTGGGGGTAGTTGTAGACTATTTGGCTAGGCTCTTCGATTTTTTTTTCCTTCACGTTCTCAGTGGAACATAGGGCTTCAAGCTAGTGGCTTGAAGTTTCTGTAGCAGTGTTTATGTTTACAGGATGGGGTTGCTAGCCTCATGCCCGACCTTTCCTCTTCGCCAGCATTATTTCTGGATTAGCGAGGTAAAGGAGTGCGTCGGCTGGGGATCGAACCCCGGACCATGTGCATGGTCGGCGAGCGTCCTAACCGCTGTGCCACCAACGCCCAGGCTCTTCGATACGCTAAGAGAATCGATAGCTTAAGACTGTTGGCTGCCTAGCTCAAAATGGTTCAGATGCATTCACTCTTTGGGAACTCTCAGAGTCATTAAATTCTCATTATTGTTCATCTAATAATAATTTCCGTTTATTATCATTTCTTTACATTTCCTTTTTTTCTCCCAACCTATTTGTATACTTTATGTGGTGTGACAACTTGAACTTGTCTACCTTTTCGCTAAGCTATACTTTGAAAATTCAGTTGACTTTCAAAGTGACAAAAGTTTATTATAACAATATTTATTCACTATACTTATCTAAAATACACCTCAGAGTTAATTAAATTATCATTATTATCATGCAAATAATAATTTTTGTTTTCTATTATTCTATTCCTAAAATGACGGTATTTTGTCTTCATTCACTGTATATGCTGTTGTTTTTTCCTTTTTGTGTAGCTCTTCAAATTTGCTTATGCTTACAAGTGTCGACGAATCCATGGTGGATTTCCTAGTTTTCTTGTGGATCGATTAGTTTTCCGTAAGGTTAGATCACTTATGGGTGGTCGAATTCGTTATATTGTTAGTGGTGGAGCACCATTGTCAGAAGATTCACATTTATTCACAAATATATGCATAGCACCTATCCTTCAAGGGTAAGCTTTTCTGTGTGTTGTATTTCCAACTGTAATTCGTGTGTATGTATGTGTGTGTGTTTGTTACTCAGTTGTAGAAATCACATGCTTTATCGAGTTTTATGTGGTTCATTCAACTACAGAACATTTAACTCATCCCACCTAATATATTGATCTCTGTACTCGCGGGGGTGAGTGGGGGAAAGGTGGCGATAAGTTTTCGTCTCAAATTTCCTGTTGGAAAATACCCATCAGAGAAATCTTTATATTGAACGGGATTTTGGGGTGATGTGGGTACATACATCCTGTCACTTCCTTTTTAGTATGTTCATTTTGCTAAAATACAACAGACAACGATCAGCATAAATGGGAGGAATATGAAAGAAACAACCTCCTTTACCTACTAACCTGGGAAGCATCGATTCAGCTACAGGCCGCCGGAGCTGACGAGGATATCAAAGCAAGAATCGGAAAAGCAAGACAAGCTTTCACTACTCTCAAGTCTGTGTGCAGGAGGTCAACAACAGTCAAAATCAAAAATAACATCCGGATTTTCAACTCAGTGCTACTCACTATACGGATCAGAGACTTGCACTGCGCGTCATAAAGGCATCTCAAACAAACTACAGACCTTCATTAACAGTTGTCTTCACTCAATACCGGTCAAGATCAGATGGCCGGCCAGAAAAGATCAGCGACAGGGATCTCTGGCAATGAGCGAACCAACCCAGAAGGAACCGATTGTGAAACAAATAGGCAGGAAGAAATGGAGATGGATTGGCTGGCCATACTCTGAGCAAAGAAACCATCAAGTGACATCACTAGACAACCATTACTGGAGTGGAACCCGAAAGGGAAGTGGCGAGTTGGTCGTCCAAGGGTGAGGGTGAATTGGAGGAGGTCATGTGAAGTCAAGAGGAGATGAAAACGTGTGGGCAGACTTGGAACCAGGTGAAGACTGTAGCAGAGAACCGAACGCAATGGAGACGCGTGGCTGAAGCCCTATGTTCCTCTAGGAATTAAAGGAAACAATAATAATAATAATTTTGTTAAAATAACCCAGATGTATGTGTATACACTCTTTATCGTCTTTGAAATTCAAAATAATAATATTCACTGATTCATTCTTCTTTCAGTAAATGTTTGTCCATTGTAGTGTCTTTCTTTGGAAGTTTGGTAACTGGGACTCACTTTTGTACAAAGTTCCGCGTCGAATTATCGAATATCTCTGCTCATATTTTCCAACTATTATTTTTTTAAGAAAACAATTAGAACTTAGCTAATTTATATTCTATTTCTGATAAATTTAATCATATTTTTAAAAATTAATTTACAGTTATGGACTTACTGAAACTTGTTCTACTGGTACTTTAATGGAATGCGGTGACCTACGATGTAATCATACTGGGGCGCCTTCTTCTTCTGTACAAATACGTCTGAGAGCCTGGCCTGAAGGTGGTTATTCTCCGTACGATACACCGTCACCACGTGGAGAAATCCTTATTTCGGGTAAACCTGTTTCACGAGGCTATTATCGACAACCGGAATTGACAGCGAGAGATTTCATAACTGAACCAGACGGCACTCGATGGTTCTGTACAGGTAGGTAACTTTTGCTAATTATCATCCGGGTTACGTTACCACTATATTATTATTGTTGTTTCTTAATCAATATAAGTTTTTGACATTGATATATATATAATGAGTTGAACAGTGCAGAAACGATACAGTGTAGCACTAGTTTTGTGAATGGAATTTTTTGTGTATATCGATCAGTATGGAGGTACCACAAGAGATGTTTACATGTAATTTGAAACTGATCACATGTTATGCGGGAAAAAAATAGTCACAATAGGTTGTTAAATTATTTGTATCACTAACAATTCTTGATTCATTTTGTATTCCAATTTTCGTTTTCTATATTGAGTGAATAGTCATGCGGTATATTACCGGTGCTAATAAATAATAATAACAATTATGATAACCATTTCGTCTATGGCTTCGTAGTTCGTTGTTTGATTAGAGCACCTGTCGCTTATCGGTCTAGGTTTATAACATTGCAACCATAGGGTTAGGTGTTCGAATCCCTCTCCACCTACTGAGGTTCAGGCAACCAGGTAGTATATATCACTAGCACTAGCCTCATTGTCAACTGCATGGGGTATTTTTTCTTTCCTTCACGTTCCCCAGTGGAACATAGGGCTTCAAGCTAGAGGCTCAACCTTTCCTCTTCACCAGCTTTATTTCTGGCTTAGCGAGGTAAAGGAGTGCGTCGGCCAGGGATCGAACCCCGGGCCATGTGCATGGTCGGCGAGCGTCTTAACCGCTATGCCACCGACGCGCATGGGGTATTGCAAGTGATTATTAAATCAAATTTAATTTTTTCTCATTCTCTTCTCTCAATAAGCTGATATTCACCTAAAAAGAAAGAACTTTAGAAGAATACCTAATGTAATTAACATAACTTTTGTGTATTTTTGATTGGACACTAATCAGTAATTAGTGTAATGTGTCTAGTTCTGCCTTCGATGCAGACTGAATTCCAGTCAGTCAAGCTTGCAATGTGGCCATAATACACTAGTTACTGACTAGTGTCTAATCAAGAATATCCAATACAGTCCTAGAGAGGAGGTCAGTCGCGAGCCTGAATAGCTCAGTAGTAACATCTCTGACTGCAGGTCTCACTGGTTGGTGACGCGGGTTCGAATCTCAGAAGGGACATGAGTTCTTTTGACGTTACATATACGCCTTGCTGACTGGTGAGTGCCAACTAACACGAAACATAGGTCCAAGGTCTCCTGTAGCCGGTTGCCTCCAGCCATCTGATAACTTCTGTGTATCAAAGTTAAATTCCTCAAAGTGACACTAATTTTTAGTTGTTGTCAGTGTTTGAAATACCATATTGAGTATTTCTATATAAGTTTAGTTTGTTAAGGATACAATTTGACTGACTTGCAGTGTTATCAGTAGATTTCTTTGCTTCTACATTATATGGTCTCTTGGTTCATTTCTGCTTTATCATAACTCATCAACGAGGTAGTGCTTTTGTGTACTAAACTATGGACCAGGCCAGTTTATAAATACTAATGGTTCTAGGTAGTTGTCTAAGGCGCAGTGCTTGTACTAGGTTTGAACCCCGGAGTCTATTGTATACATATCCTGTAAGAATCTGTAGGTATTCATCTAAGTTTTCTCGTTCCAGATTACACCAACTGTGAGAAGATTGCTAACTTAAAAATTAATAGCTATGATGAATATTCCACTTCTTTGGATCGTCAAGCATTATAGGCTTCTAAATTGCGCCTACATCAGCCTCTTAAAGTTCCTTCCCTTTTTTTGATGAAAGGGATTAAGACTGTCTCTGTAGTATTTTTTTGACCTTCCTGGTGATTTCAACTTGGGAAATCTATTTTCGCACTAATGCTAGTCTGTTAATCAATGCAGTTATGCCAAGAGTGACTATTTCTATCGTATTCAATCGTTCTGTTGCAGTAGTTTCAAATGACTTTAAATGGAGCATTGTACTGTGAACCAGCTTTCGACAGAATTCAGAGTAGCTTATCGCTTCAGTAAACTTACGGATAATTTTGTTTCTTCTCTAGACAACACGATGGTGACAACCATCCATCAAATAATATCATGCTAGTCCTCAGGCATCGTCGATGTGTCCGTATTTGTCCGAAATGTCAACAGTAGTCTAGCATTTCGGTCTAATTAAACAAGAAAAACAAAAATTAACTGATGACCGTTGCACATTAGGAGGAGTGGCTGCCTTGCTTGCCCCCAGTGGTCTAGTGAATGACACTTTGGCGTTTGCAACGATGAGCACTACTGGGTAGGAATCTTAGTGGGGACAACATCACTTATCCAGGGTTTCAAGTACATCCAGATGAGGAGTCCGAAATAGGACGAAATCTATATCCTGGATTCCACTGTTAGTCACCAGTGCACCAGTGTGTTGAAGTGTAATCTCAAGAAATAAGCATTTTTCTGTTATTGAATTTATGATTTCATCATGAATATTCTCGTTTTCTGTTTTCAATTGATATATTCTTATCACAATCATTACCAAGTTTATCGTTTGTTAAAATGTATAAACTGAGCGTTTCACCGTCAATGGTAAACCTCTATATATGTATGTACACACGCATACTTGCATACATATACACAATGAGTCACCTTTTTCGAAGAATCAATCAAAAAGACCTATCAATTGAAAATTGTTTTTATCGAAAAGTTTACTTCTTAATTCGTTTTGTCTACAATTCATTCGTGGTTTTGGTCAATTAAACCATGTGCATATATTTGTGTGTGTGTTCTGTGTTGTGTCTGTGTTTGTGTGCGTGTATGTCTGTTGGTAGGTAGGCAGGTAGGTAGGTCTTGTAGACTATGTTCATAATCTAGGTCTATTTCATTGACTTAATTAATCGATAATATTTAAAACCTTTCGTTTGGTAGACACCGTGTGTGTGTCTAACACTCTTGACACATGTGTGTGTGTATGCATCTATATATAATAGACATGTCATGTCGTCGACATAAATATCATGTTTCTGAGATCTCAGTTTATCAATTTCTTATGGTTGATATGGTGGAATGCTACATTATCTTATCAATGTTTTACTCTGACCATGTGTTACATGCGCATGCGTTGCATTTTTCAACTGCTATGTAGACGACTTACAACGAATTCATTCCCCTCAGAGAGAAAGAGAGGGTGAGAGACAGAGACCAGTGTTGAGATATGCAAACGTCACGGTATCCGTGATATCGGATAGTTGACCCATTCGTTTACACCTTGTGTTTTTCCACTGATGTACACCGCTTTTTAATTATCCTATTAGTCTTGTTATTCGAGTGTCGCAATGATGTGGCTACTTTAAATTGCCCTAATCACTTGATATAAAACTGCGACAGTTACACTAAATTTCTAACGTGTCCCTTTGTGTGTCTCCTTATAGCATCTGTCAATAAGTTAAAAACTATAACCAAAAGAAGTGGTTAGTCCGTATGGTCAAAATAAGCCTTTTTTACTTCGTATCCCCTTGGCATGGAATTATTTAATACCTACTGTCTTTTATACCTTTGAAAATAAATTATTACTGCATATCATCATGTATCAGTGGTTCGATTCACAGGTGACGCACTCTTCCTAAACGCCACCTAGCCAGGAAGAGAGGAAGAATTGGGTGTAAATTGAAGTCATTGCCATTTCAACTTCAAAAATTTGAAACCCACCCTGTGTTCCAGGCAGAATTCAAAGAAATGAAAAAAAAGTGTATCACCTCAATCCCCCTATGCTGATGCTCCTTTCTTCACGTTTTACGTGCATGAAGAGAATGTTGTGTTGTTAGTTTCTGCCCCACGTGGTTGAATGGTATACGAGTTCTCCATGTAAAACCTGAAGGTTCTTGGCGAGTTTATGGATTTGTACTGGTGAAGCGACCCCAAAACAAGGGCGAAACAGCTGTCCAAAAATTCCCTGGTTTCAATGGCGGCTCTCTAACTGAAGTTGATTCTTGATCAAAATTGAAGTGTGAACTGTTGTATATTTTCACTACAATTGGATGCAGACTGCAACTGTGCTTCATTACGCCTTGAGACGCGTAACTCCTTACAAAATAATCTACATTTCGTTAATTGAACTGACTTCGTCTTTTCAGCTTTTTAGAGATAAGTCTGAAATATATTCATGGGAGGATAAGTAAAGACAACAAAAGAATGCTGAAAAGAAAAAAAACTTTTATGTATTTGCGTAAAAGTGAAGAGAATATGGTTGGTTTTTTATTCAGACTTCTCCTACTGCCAAGCTGGAGATGATTATCTTGAAGATACACGTCTTGTGAATATATCAGTAAGATAATCTGAAACAAGCACAGATATTTGCATTTGTATTTCCGCTATTAAATGGTGTAATATTGCGGTTATGCATAGGGTGTTGTTGGATAAGGGGTCAAATCAATCGGTAAGGTTGTGAAGCTGCATTGATCGGGGTGGGTGGCTGCGGTTCGTTTTACGCATGCCAAGTCATCGAGTAATGTTAGCTGACATACGATTATGTCAAAACCTGACGTTAATTCATCAAGTTATCGACTGTTGATTTGAGTTACTCTGGTAGGTGTAGATTAGTTAGGCAGAGGGTCATCGAGGTGCTAAGAACCAATGTCTGAAGACTTCTTAATATAGCTCAAAATCATTTCTAGTGGCACAGATGGATTCTTTTTTATCTCTCCCTACAATCATTCCTTCTCTCGTGCGTTTCCGGTCATTATATAGTTCTGATTTTCTGTCGACCTGGGTGCTATATTTATTATTATTGTCTCCTTGGGTGTTCCGAGTGGAAAATAGGGCTTCACTAGTACGCCTCCACTTTTTCTTATTTTCTACAGCCCTTTTTAGTTGGTTCCACGATCGCCCATAATCTCTTGTCTCCTCGCACGACTACCATGTCACTCTTGGGACGCCCCACTCGAGGGCCTAACGCCCGATGTCATTCGGTGTGTTTAACTCACCTCTATTTCCTTCGGCACATTTGTTGAGCAATAGGTTCATGAATGGTTCGTTTCCAGAGTGTTTTTTGTTCATAATTCTTTCTGGCCATTTGATCTTCAATATGGGGCTAGAGAAGGCAGATGTTGATAAAAGTCTACAACCTGTTGGAGACGCTTTTCGTGACGCGCCAGTGTACTATACTGGAGTGTAGTAACTTGAACTGATGATGCACCTCAGTACAAAGTCCTACGTTGAAGCTTAGTCATTAACAATAATGTGCAAAAATTACCTTTCCCTTTAGTATACTAAAATAGTGCTAATTTATTATTTTTGAAATTTAGAGAAAAAAAATAATGACTGTTATTATATCGGATCTTCAGATTAATTCGCTGTGACTGATTAGAGTTTGAATAAAGTAGACTATTCAGTTAGTTAAATGATAGAGAAAAATTGATATTTTTTCCTCTAGTAACCTACACCGTATGCAAGCCTAATTTTATTCCGTTTGACTACGAAACTTTATTATACTACTGATGGATTGAGATGATGAATAGTTGTGTTACTACTAGTCATATCAATCAGTTGTGCTGGCTAGTCATATCGGCTAAGTTCAACAATAGCGTCCCAAGGGATGCGAACGCACGAGTGTCCTTGAGCCGACCAGTCATAAAATGAGGAATTTTTGCATGAAAAATGACGTATATTTACAAGAAAATGCAGGAAAACACATTAAACAGGGCATCTTTCTCTGACATGACTTAAAAATACGTCCCAGCTATAATGAAAAGTATCAGTTGCCAAGTTAGACTAGTTTCTGTACATGTATTCACCGAGATGACTGAAGATGAGCTGTTTTTGTGAATCGTTTATCTCTCTTATCCTTTTATGCAGTCTTCCCCAAAAGCCCTCGGTTGAATTACTATGGTTTCCAGTAAGAGGATCGACAACTACTTACCAGGGAAATGTGGATAATAAAACAAATTAAAATAAATGACATCACCTCTAAATCTATCCCTAATCGTAACCCTAACCCCAATACTCACCTTAACCCCTATCTTAACCTTACCGAGATATTAACACACTTTCCAAACAGTACTTAAAAACGTGATCTAAGTGAAATTTGCTGATTAGTTGGTGAATAGCATTGATATTTCAGCTATGATAATGACAAGTGCCGTTAGCCAACGATTAGCACGCGTTCCAGGTCATTAGAGCGTTCTTATTTCTGGGACGCTGTTGTTGAACTTCGCCGTCATATCTAGGTAATCTAAACACTGGGCAGCTGTTTCACTCGTTTTGGGGGCTGCGTGTTCATCAACGACAGGTAGACAGGTTCGACTCAGCTAAGAGAGCTAAATCTGTTCAAACTACTTGATTTCTGACTAGGTGTTTTAAGCCCCAACTGGTAAAGAAAAAAACCACAAATCAGATTGACAATCTGGAAGAAGAAAAAAAACTTTCCGTCTAGTCGAGAGTGATAACCTATTTCGATAGGAGCTTCACTGAATTGAATCCAATGAATGCGTTACACCTAGTGGCATATAAATAAATGCTCTTATAAAGCTTATTACTTTTCATGTTATTACCATTTAAAGTATTTTCCAGAAAATTAATACTCTCTTACAATCAATATGTCATAACAAAATAATTTAAACTCTCGATGTATGTTTACAAAAGTTGCAAAAGTGAGTATAGTTTTGTTTTGCTGTTAAATAAAGCCTTTACACATCTTTGTATTCATTGTGTTTTCTTTGTTTTTTTTCAAAAATTTTGTTTGTCTATAATGCTAGGCGATATTGGATTGATGCATACAGATGGAAGTCTATCGATTATTGATCGTAAAAAAGATTTAGTCAAATTACAAGCTGGTGAATATGTTTCACTGAGTAAAGTTGAATTAGCACTTAGTCAATCAATTTATGTCGAACAAATCTGTGTCTATGTTGATCCATCACAAAATTATCCTATCTGTTTTGTATCGCCGAAGTTGAAAGCACTGCTTGAATTAGCACAATCATTGAATCTAATTCATTTACTTGAAGAAGCAAGGGCGACACTTCCAGAGCAGTCGTTAAAAGATCCAATTGCAATTGAACATGTTGAACGTGTTACTCTGTGTAAACATCCTCAGGTTAGTTAGTTTTCCTTGTCTCCGCTTTACTAAGCTGTTTCTCCCCCCCCCCCCCCCCCATCATATCCCACTTTTATTTTAGGTTGTAATTGTGTGTATCGTCTTTGTGATGAACTTTTATTATCACAGTTGACCTTATATCACTGGCTGACTGGCTGACTAATATTTTAAATGCGGGTATAAATCAGTATAAATCATCATCTCATTTCTCCCTTTGTTCTTTAAACTTGAATTTCAGAATCATACCATGTGGTGGTGTGATATAAACGTCCTTTTCAAGGTTGTTGTATTTTGTTTGTTTGTCTCACTTCGATTTATTTTATTGGTTAACCGATTTATCTGTCTGGTTTTTGGGTAAGAGAAAATACACCCACATCATCATTGTGTAAGCCTAATAAATTAATGTATGCTTATGATACTGCCAAAAATCTTTACATACACATATAAGGATAAGGAGATTTATGTGGTCCTGTTTATTGAATAAAGTCAGTAATCATCATCATTAGAAGTTCGATAATATTGATTTTTATTATAGTTGGTGTCATCAATCATATTTAGCACCATTTGACTATTGTATGGCATATTCCGAACATCAGTCTTTATTATTAGTTGCCAGGGTTCCAGGTAATAATATTTTGCTGTTAAATGTATGATGCTGCTACAGGACTGGACTACGTCAACTCCTAGCTTAGTGATAAGGATTGAAGTGATAGAACATGTTGACCACTTCACCTATTTAGGAAGTTGTATCAGCACCAACGGATTGATTGGTGACGAAATCTCAGCACGGATCCAAAAAGCCCGGGTTGCTTTCTCTAACTTATACCATCTCTGGTGTAGGCGTGACATCCGGCTATCAACCAAGGAACGTGTGTACTGCTCAGCAGTTCGTTCCGTCCTTCTCTATGGCTCTGAAACATGGCCAATACGAGTTGAAGACATGAGAAGGTTGAGTGTTTTTGACCACAGATGTTTACGATCTCTTTCTCACGTTAGGGTGGTATCATAAGGTAAGTAATGTTGACGTTAGGCGCAGAGTGTTGGGCAAAGAGGGAAAATCAATCGAAGAGGCTATAAAGTTACATAGATTGAGATGGCTAGGTCACGTGCTGCGCATGCCTAACCATCGCCTCCCCCGACGGGCATTAGTAGCTGATATAGGTACAGGTTGGAAAAGAGTAAGTGGTGGCCAAACAAAAACATGGCCTCATCAATCCATGAAATCCTTGACCGTTAAACTGAGTCAGGTAGGGAGATGCAGACTTCCGGGTTGGGGCCCTCGGGACTCTAAGAATCAATGGCTGGAGACAATAGGTGACATGGCTCAAAATCGTTGTCAGTGGCGCAGATGTATTCAGTCTCTGTAATCTTTCATATTCCTTTCTACCATTACTCATTCTGCTTCACTCTTATACTTGTCAAAACTCTATTGATTCTCTTCACTCACTTTCTTGTCTACCTTTGTGTGCTATTTGGAACGTGGCAACTCGAACTGCTGCACCTCAGTGCCAAGTTCTATGTTGAATCCAGACAGACAGAGATTTTCCTGGGTCACATTAGTACCTGTTGATAACTGAAACTTTGTGCGACACAATTATTTCGTCCTAATTTGGGAATGTTAAGCAGTGTTCACCTTATAACTTTACCAGGAGAGATCAAACTGTGGATCTTAATTCAGGTGACAAGAAGGAGAGTCTGTTGACCACTGTTAGTCACTGGATTGTGATCTATGAATTCTGACTGGATGAACAATTCAATCATATTGAAGGGATCAGTTGTTGCAGAAGCTTATCGATATCAATAAATTCCATAGTGGCTGATGCAATACAGTATATATTAGTTGTAGTATAACTTAGCATAATAGAAAGGGTGAACGATGGGGGGGGGCGACTAGCAGTGGAGTCCAGGATGCGCATTTCGTCCTATTTTGGACTCGTCAGCCAGTGGGTGTACCTGCATTCCGCAGTGAGTGATGGTGTTCCCACCGACGCCCATGGTTTCAAACACCAAAGCGTTATCCATGCCTTGAGCCGCGAGAGCCACCTCTTGTACTATGGGTCATATTAATTTATTAGACCGAAGTACTCGGTGCGCATCCTGGATTCCTTGTGCTAGTCACCATCCACCAGTTAACTTCTAGTTACATGTACCCAGACGTCGTCGAGGCATCTGCACAAGGAGAGCTGAAATGTCAACTTGAGACCGGTCCAATCAATCAATCAACGGGAAAATGTAAAATTGAATTAAATATTCCAGATTAGTTATACAACTGATTGCACATGTTGCCTTAAGGGTTAAATAATTTAGTTAATCAAAGGTGAAAAAAAGGTGGTCACATCAAGAATCTGAATAAAGATGAGGTTGTGGGTGTGTTATTACGTTCTAAAAAAAACCAAATATAACTAAAACAACGTGTAAAATGTATTTACCGCAGTGAGGGAAGGATAACAATGATTTCCTTTGGAATACATAAATTTGTTTTTAACTGTTCACAATGGCTACCGCTTTAGCGATACATTGTAAGCTTGAATGAACCAACCTACATCTTAATCACTTTCAATTGCGTTAAAAAATCATTTTCATGACCCCATTGTCTGCCTATTAAGTGATGAGCAGTTGGATTGCTGAAGAGTTCCTCACCTTTCAATCGTAATCTTCTTAGTATATATATACTCAAATATGTTGTTACAAATCAATCCTGCTGTTTGTCTGTTAAGTTGACTTTGGCAAGTTAGTAGACTCACGCTCAATAACTTAAAGTAAAGTGCTCTTGCCGGCTTTATCTTGATTAAAAAAGAATTTTAAAAAAATTGTCCCTGATCCGAGGATGATGGTTGTATGCTACCTGCAAAGTGGAAGTGCAATTATGTGACCAAATCATGAGAGTGGCCATGACCCGCTGAGGTGGGGCAGTATGTACCATCTGGTTTGGTTGAGACCGGACAGTGGGCGGGGTGGGAAAACACCTACCGCTGCGGGAGCGTTAATGGGGTGCTCATTTTCATGCTTAAAAATTGCTAGAGGTGTTGTCTACTCAGCAGGGATACTGGCTCTGCGAGGGTGGGGCAAAATGGGTTTCCGGGAATTAATAGTACCGCCCACTCCTCCGGAGACCTTGTTGAAAATACGACGTAAAACGCTCAAGTATGGGAATATTTTATGTATATTAATTTTAAAATAGTGTTAGATTGTATTATGCAGTTGATAAGATACTCACGAAATAAGCTGATACTATATTCTCTTGCGTTCTTCGAGTTTATCAAAGATGAAAATTGTATTTGTCCTCACACCCGACGTGTTGGAAACCCCCCCCCCACCGCCTCTACTCACTATTTCTCACTAGAAATCCAGGCAACTTTATTTTCTAATCAGTCACTAGTGAGCTTCTGTGGTCTAATTTGAAACCAGTGAAATGCCTACAAACTAACAGTTGGCAATTAATTTTATGCTCAATGGTGACTACCTACCAGATGAAGTTGTAGTCAGAAGTTATGACTGGTAGTGGAGTCCACAAGGTCGGATGTGAGTGCAGATAACTCGTTTATGATACTGGTTGTCGATGGCGCGTCGGTAATCACGAACTGATAGGAATTAAGATTCATCGATCGTTGGATTCCATCCCATGTGTGGTTATATGGTCAACGAGCTCTTTCTCATCTAAACCTGAAGACTGTAGCTTCGATCCCCGGTGTGGGGGCGTTATGGGTGCGGACTGATGGTTAAGTATCCCAAACTAAAACGAAACAGTACTCCTTGATTCTCTAACCTATGTCAATCCGTGTTCAAACTTGTCACCACTAAAAGATACTGACAAGCTAACACTTAAAAATTCAGGGTTTTTTTTTTAAATCGATTTAATTTTAATTTTGCATACACCAAGTAAATTGCATTTTTCACCTTCTGTTTTTTTGCTTCTTTTCGTTTTCCCCCCTCGCCCCTATAGATCATATCTGCTGTTTTGAAAGATTTACATCGTGTTGCCAGAGAGAAACGTTTATGTACATTTGAAATACCACAAAAAGTTGGCCTGGATACAATCGCTTGGACACCAGATACTGGTTTAGTGACAGATGCATTGAAATTGAAACGTTTCAACCTACAAACTCGTTTCCAACGTGAAATTGACGAACTCTATCACAAGGATACACGAGCTTAATTCTCTATCGCATTCTTCGTCTCCTTGAAATAAGAAAAATAATAATAACAATGACAGTAATACACTAGTAATGATGGTAAAGTATCTATATATATAGTTATACAAATGTTAATATGGACGCAGAAATGTTTGCACATTCCACTCCCATCGTATGTATTATATGTATACAGATACATATATAAACATATATTATCTAAACGGATTCTTACAGCTTAATTACTATTATTATTGTTATTACTATATATAAAGTGTTGAAGGTGTTTGTTGGACTAATCAGTGTTTATTTATTCGTGTGCTTACAACATACTGTGATTGTGCAGTACATAAAATAGACAGACGTAGGTAGATGGTGATGATTTAAGAGATTGTTGTTGTTGGCATTGTTATTGTTGTTACTCTTTGTTATTTTGTTTTTTTCCGCGTTTATTTTCTCTCTTTGCAATTACCAATTTACTGTAATCATCACTTTATATATTGGCCTTTGTGTATTTTGTAGTTTTACTACTCACTTTATATGTGTGTTATTGTGATTGTTTCCCTGTTCGTCCATACTATTATTATTATTATCTTTATTATTGTTACTATTACTGCATTGGAATTAAGAACTGTTTCTTGCACAGTCTATGGTATATATTATATGCATATTCGGTTGGTACTCAGTTAGTAATCAATATTATCATCATCATATATTCTTTCAGCATATTTCTATTCAGCTAACTAACATGGATGACTACAGCTAATCATCATAGTAATGGTAGTGTATAATATATATATATAAATATATACAAAGACGCACAATTCTCTACTCATTTTCACCTCATTCATACGCATCATTCATTCATTATTAGTGTTATGCTGCTGCATGACGACTTCTACCGCATACACAAACCTACTTTGAAGTGTTTTTCGAGATAACACTCTACTGTCGTCTCCGTCGCCATTGTTTTCACTGGGGGGCTTTCTTTTCGTCGTATTAATTGTTTTTCTGTTTTTTTCTATTTCATTAATTTTGCCACCTCTTTTCTTGATGATGATGATGCTGTTATTGTTGTTTCTGTTGTTTATTCTTCTTTGAGGGGTGGTGTGCACGTGGGTTTGTGTAAGTGTTTTTTCTTGTCTCTTTACAATGCGTGCTTGTTTGTTCGTTTGTGTGTCTATGTATGTGTGCCTATAATGTAACTTTGCTCCATGTTTGCTTCCTTTACTCTCTTTCTTTATTTCATAGTAAATATTTGTATACGTAATGATATAATAGTAATGGTAGTAAATGAGACAAGAAAAGGAAACATTATATTTCTATTGTGGTTTTGTTTACCAATTTTTTTCTTCTGTTGTCGTGTTACTTCACTTACTTTACTCTCATTTTTATAATCTATATATATATGTGTGTGTGTGTGTGGGTGGGTGGATGGATGTACTTCTATGCTTATTATTTATGTATGCGCGTGTGTACCTCTAATTATTTTTCACGAGAATAACTCCCCTGTACTACACTCCGTTCTCTTTTTTTGTTGCACAGGGCATTTTCCACCTGTATGTGCTTCTTTCCTCAATTTGTCGCCTTTCATATTCTTTGCATTATATGCAGTAGAAAGAATGTGTATGTGTGGGTGTAGTCCTTTAAAATAATTGGGCGGGGGGATCATTTGACTGTGTCCGCATATATGTGTTATGTGAGCGCGTATGTGTGTGAGTGCTCGCGTGTGTGTCTTTGAGATGATTTCATAACTCATTCATGGACTCTCCTCCTCCTAAATACACCATTTTTTGTAAATTTTTAAATTTGTTTCATATACATATATATAGTGAAAGTTATTCTTGGACATTTTGAGTTCTGTTCTTTATTTGTTCTTCTTTTTGGTTGTTGTTGTTGTTGTTGTCGTTGCATAGATTATACAGAGTAATAGTGTGATTATACATCAATTCGTTGAATTAAACGAATACCTTGCTGACAGGTAACACACAGCACATAAAGGAAATCTGAATACACAACTACTGCTTATCACAAGTGAATGCTAGCTGACAAAAAATGCAGAGTCTACTGAACACCTTGAGCAACAATCTTCGTATGTTTGGCATGCGATTCACCCCTGTAAAATGTAAGATGATGCTGCAGGATTGGAATACACCGACCCCGAGATTAGAAATAGGAAGTGAAGCGGTAGAGCACGTTGACCGCTTCACTTACTTGGGAAGTACCATCAGCCAGTGCCAACGGGTTGATCTCCGACGAAATCTCAGCACGAATACAGAGGGCTAGTTTCGCATATGCCAGTTTACGCCGTCTCTGGCGCAGTCGCGATATCCGACTATCGATCAAAGGGCGTGTGTACTGCTCAACAGTCCGCTCCGTCCTCCTTTATTGCTGCGAGTGAGAACTGGCCATTGAGAGTGGAAGACATGAAAAGATTAGCTGTCTTCGGTCATAGGTGTCTGCGTTCTATCTCCCGCGTGAAGTGGTATAATAAGGTGAGCAATATTGAGGTAAGGCATCGGTCGAGTGCTAGGTAAGGAGGAGAAATCAGTCGACGAGACTGTGAAATTACATCGACTGAGATGGTTAGGACATGTGTTACGTATGCCTAGTCATCGCCTTCCTCGACAACGGGCAATGTTAGCTGATATAGGGTCAGGCTGGAAAAGAGCTAGCGACGGTCAAACCAATACATGGCACCAGTCAATGAAATCTACGACAGTTAGTGTAAGCCACGTAGGAAGGTGTAGACTTGCTGACTGATTGGGGTCCTCGGGACGGTAAAAACCAATGGTTGGAAACAATTGGTGACATGGCTCAAAATCGTTCGCAATGACTAGCGCAGATGCATCCACTGCTTGTGACTCATGATTTCGAATGAAACTGTTTTGTTCTTCGATATTACTATTCCTTTGTCTCACACCTCTGTTTACTGTCTATATTATACATTTCTCCTACTTTCTTCTCTTCCTTTGTGTGCTAAATGGAGTGTGGCGGCTTGAACTGCCACATCTATGGTCGGCCTGAATTTGGGCTACCGATATCCATGCTGAAAATTCCACACTTGTACTGAAAATACGGTGTGGAATCAAGCTGTAAATCAAAATAAAAAATGTGCAAAGTTCTATATTGAAAACCGACCGAAGTAAATGCTAATATTGAGATACTATAAAAACCATTTATGGTTCAATGGCAGAATATTCGCCAGCCATATGTTCGCATTGTCCGGGTTCGATTCCTGACTGATGCACTCCTCAACCTCGCGTACTCTAATAGTCGATAGTTATTCTGTAAAGGAAAGAAAGGTTAGGCATGTGGTCAGCAAAAACTGAAACACCAAGAGTTATTGGGGCTTTTTGTTCCACTGGGAACTCAAGGAATGGAGAAAAAGAAAGAATTAAATTACACTGCGCCAAATTATCCTTCCACTTAGCTGTGAATGACAAGATTGTAAATCTGGTAGGTGTCAACCGACACACTTGACGTTGAATAGATAGACCGGCAAGAGGTCAGTTGTGTGATTGAAAAGCTCAGCGATATAAAGCCTCTGACTTCAGCGTTAAGTGACAAAGGATGGCACATGTAGCTTGCTGATTAATACGGCTACATGTATGACACCTGGATATAGGGCTTCTTGGAGAATTATATTGTTTCTCCTGGATAACAGTAATGCTATTATGTTATTGAGATACATATTCTTAATAGGAATGATGTCTAAAAGAATAGCGTCTCATTTCAAAGAAGCGAGTCTTTGTTTTGAAGTAGTTTCCACGCTACTCCGTTGGAGAAGGCTAAGGCAGACTGATGTTACCAACTGAAAACTTAACATTGCTCTACATTGTATCTACCCATCGCCAAGCTGAATGAATTTGTGTTGATATTAGGCGGTTGGAATAAACCGCTGCTGCTAAACATTTCTGATTGAAGCGACGGTTTACACAGGTTCGGATCTCTCTGGGTCGGGGGTGGTGGTGTAGACATCATCCCTTTCGAGGTTTCAGATACACTTATCGGAGTATCAGTTCCACGGTTTTTTTTGTCGATCACTTCCAACCACCTAATATCTTTGAAAAAGCAAATCAATGAAGGAATGTGAGATTTTAGTTCATTTGGAAGTGAAGTATAAATGCATGTGAACTACTGCTCTCGTTTTCATCTGTGTCGCATAGCCTCTTATAAATATTAATAAAGTTCAGATTACCAATTAGTCTTCAATCAAGTATCGAGTCCATTTGTAACCATCCTTCGTTGTCTTATCATTATTGTTTCCTTTAATTCCTAGAGGAACATAGGGCTTCAGCCGTGCGTCTCCATTGCGTTCGGTTCTCTGCCAACGTTTCCACCTGGCTCCAAGTCTGCCCACACGTTTTCATCTCCTCTTCACATGGCCTCCTCCAAGTCACCCTTGCATTGACGACCAACTCGCCACTTCCCTTTCGGGTTCCACTCGAGCAATGGCTAGGCGTGTGATGTCACTTGATGGTTTCTTTGCTCAGAGTATGGCCAATCCATCTCCATTTCATCCTGCCCATTTGTTTCACAATCGGTCCCTGCTGAGTTGGTTCGCTCCCAGAGATCTCTGTTGCTGATCGTTTCTGGCCAGCCATCTGATCTTGACTGGTATTGAGTGAAGACAACTGTTAATGAAGGTCTGCAGTTTGTTTGAGATGCTCTTTATGACGCGCAGTGCAAGTCTCTGATCCGTATAGTGAGTAGCACTGACTTCACATCGGAGTTGAAAATCCGGATGTTATTTTTGATTCTGAATGCTGTTTACCTCCACACAGACTTGAGAGTAGTGAAAGCTTGTCTTGCTTTCCCGATTCTTGCTTTGATATCCTCGTCAGTTCCGCCTGTGGTTGAAACAATGCTTCCCAGGTAGGTAAAGGAGGATGTTTCTTTCAGGTTCCTCCCATTTATGCTCATCGTTGTCTGTTGTTTTTGTTGCTGTTTGTGGTGTTGCCCAGGAATCTTCATCACCTCTGTTTTCTCTACGTGCACCTGAAAGAAGTCCTATCTTTGATGCTTCTTCTGCCAACTTGTTGCTTTTCGCTTGCATATCTTCCAGTTTGTGGGAAATCAGACATATATCATCGGCGAAGTCCAGATCCTCCAAGTTTTTTTGTGCGTGTCCATTTTATGCCTGTTTCCTCATTGCCCGCTGTTTGTCGCATTATCCAATCTACTGCAATCAGGAAAATCATTGGCGATAGTAGGCAGCCTTGTCTTACTCCTGTCGTCACTTCGACGGATTCCGTAAGTTTCCTGTGTGGACTAATTTGCATGCAGAAGTAAATTTCAGTGAGTAACCGCACATTCAACTCACGAGAATGTATTTCTTCATTCAAATAGTCTCTAAACCAAATATGAATCAGTAATGAGTTGGTATACTTGTTTTTACGTGAATTGTAAGTGAAAATAAATAAATAAATAAGTGTATTGTCCTAGTCTAATAGCTATTCAACTCCTTAAGTTAATTTAGTGAGTCATTTCCACCCTTGAAAATATGTCTGCCACACCCATAGGTCTCTTTACAACTGTATTTGGTTGTTGTTGTTGTTGAATGTGACTTAAAGTCTGTTTGTTCACCTCCTAACAAAAGCCTAACCAAAGAAAATCTCAACAAATGTGATATGAAGAATATTAGAGCCATACACATACATAAGATGTCAGACAGGATACTAACCGAAAATGAAATCTCATTACTACACAGAAAGGTCTGAATTTCAATATCACTAGAAAGCCATTGTCGGTCCAGGAAATAGCACCTATGATCGAACCTGCTCTACAGTGGTTCACCAATGAAGAATCATAATCTGTACGTAAAAGCATATCGCATATATTAATGACACAACAAAACATACCATAACATAATCTCACCAAACAAGAATATGAAGCTCTAAAAAATTTGAAGAAAGACAAAAGCATCGTTATAACCAAAAGCCGACAAGGGAAACATCACTGGGATAATGAACAGAACGGATTATGAAAAGAAGGCGATTGAACACCTATCTAAAGCACCATACTTACTCATTGAAGAAATCTGCCGAATTCAACAAAATGAAACTAAGTACCAACAGGCTTCTTCAAGAAATGAAATCCGAAATTGGAAATTCTCTCTGGTTTAAACTTACGTACCTTCAAGATTCTACGGTCAACCAAAGATATATAAACCCACAGTTCCATTAAGACCAGTAGTAGATTTCACCGACATACAACCGCTCAAAATACTTATTTGCGATACTAAAAGATTCATATGACTTCAAATCCCAAATAGAATACCGAGAAATTGATAAAGAAGACATTATGGCAAGCTATGATATTAACTCACTATATACTATTATCCCTATGACAGAAAGTCTTGATATCATCTCCAGCCTACTAGAATTAGATACGACGCTATCAAAAAGATGTCCACCAGTGAAATAATTAAGAGCTTGAAATTCTGTCTATAAAGTAATTATTTTACATTTAAGGGAAATTTATATAGACAGATAAGTGGTGTTGCTGTAGCTGCACCAGTCTCCCCAATAGTCGCTCACCTGTTCATGAAAAGATTCAAAGATACCATCTTTTCAAGCATACTCACTCCTAAAATATGGTTAAGATACGTAGATGACACTTTTGTAGTGCTAAAGCAAGATCTACACAGTTCATCGTGAACAAAACAAACAGTCCATCTCCTAGAATCCAGTTTACTTCGGAAGCAGAATCAGACATTGATGAACTACCATTTCTGGACTGCCTAATTAAGAGGAGAGGAAACGGACATTTTAGTATATCCATATTCAGGAAGCAAACCCACTCAAATAAATATTTAGACTTCAAATCATCATACCCCATCAGCGCAAAGATTCCAGTTGTTTCAAGTCTTCTTAGACGAGCACACTCTCTG